TTTCAGGTTTTTAGCAATTTTTCTTCAAATTTTCAAGTTTGATTTTCACTTTGTAAATTTTTTAAGTTTTTATTATACACTTTTTCGTTTTTTTATTTTTGATTTTTCAATATTACAATTTGTCAACTTCCAAATTTTCCAATTTTTCAATATTACAATTTCTCATTTTTCCATTTTTCATATTCTCGATTTTTAATTGTACCCTTTTTCAATTTTCCGTCCCCTCAATGTTTCAACTCCCCGATTTTTATTTTGCATTTTCCTGATTTTTTATTTTTCATTTTCTCGATTTTAGATCACAATTTTTTGTTTTTTCATTTCCTTGATTTTTGTTGTTTCTTTCGATTTTCCAATTTTTCGTTTTTCAATTTTTCAAATTTTCAGGCCAATCGATTCCAATTCGTCGATTTTCCAATTTTAAAATTTTTCAGTTTGGAGTTTTTGGGTTTCCACCCCTTTTTTATTTCCCGAGCGTAAGCAAAGGAAGTATTGTAATCGAGCCCGTCGGCCGTCTCTCTACTTTTACTATTTTCTCGATTTTTCATGACCCCTGCCGTCCCGGGTTTTTATTAGACAGATAATCTCCGAAACTACTGAACCGATTGTTGTGAAATTTTGTACTTATATTAGGAATATCATATAGATGGTAAAACGCTAACCAAAATTTGTCTAATCATCCCCACCACTAATGCGATGACGTCACTTCAAAATTGTACATAGTAAATGGGTTTTAAATTGTATAAAATAACACATGTAGTTTACGACTCCGAATTGAGTTTTGCAATTTAATTTTGAATCTGCTAACCCGACGATGTTTTGAAATGTTGCAGATGTTTTAAGGCTGTAAAGAGCATCATAAATCTTTAGTCAAAATATATTTGGTTATCCCCTCCAAAAACTTGATGACGTCAGCTCAAAAGTTTGCCGAATAAATCCTATCCAAAATGTACAAAATATGATGAGTCTCTTCTTGTGATATATCACTCTATTCATATTTTTTGGATTTGCATATACAGGGTGACTCAAAAAAATTAATGAATGCGTGAATTTATTTTCTTGAGTTAATCAGGAACTACAAAACCGAATGCTTTGAAATCTTGCAGATAAGGTTATAAAGAGCATAATAAATGTTTAGCAAAATATATTTGGTTATCTTCTCCAAAAAACTGATGACGTCACCCTAAAATTTGCCGAATAAATCCTATCTAAAATGTTAAAAATATGATGGGTCTGTACTTGTGATTTATCACTCCATTCATATTTTTTGGATTTGAATCTCTTCTTGTGATTTATCATTTCATTCATATTTTTTGGATTTACATATACATTGTGACCCAAAAAAATTAATGAATGCGTAAATGTGTTTTATTAATTTAACCAGGAACTACAGAACCGAATGTTTTAAAATCTTGGAGATGTTTTAAGGTTATAAAGAGCATAATAAATTTTTAGCAAAATATATTTGGTTATCTTCTCCAAAAAACTGATGACGTCAGCTCAAAAGTTTGCCGAATAAATCCTATCTATCTACCGGTTGACTCAAAAAAAAAATGAATGCGTAAGTTTATTTTATTGGTTTACTCAGGAACTACAAAACCGAATGCTTTGAAATCTACTGCGAAAACAGAAACATAATTGGCATGCAGTCGTCACGTTTCCGACAGCGAGGGAAGTACTGTCTAAACTCTTTAGACCAATTTTTACTTTTTGGATTTTCAATTTTTCGTTGAACTTTAGATTTCTCGAATTTTGGACAGTTTTATACTTCGATTTTTTAATTTTTTTTCAATATTTCGATGTTTTAATTTGCTGAATTTTTCAATTTATAAATTTCACAAATTTTTTCTATTTCTCGATGTTTCGATTTTTCAGTTATCCGATTTTTCAATTTTTTTAAATTCTGGAGTATCGAATTGTCGATTTTTCAGTTTTTCGATTTTTAAGTTTTAGATTTTCGAATTTTTCTTTTTTGATTCTTGGATGTTTGGATTTCTCCATTTTTCAATTTTGCGGTATTTGAATTGTTCAATGTTTTAAATTTTAGATTTTTCGATTTCTGGATTTTTTTATTTTCCAGTTCTTCAGTATCTCTATTTTACAATTTTTCAAATTTTGACGTTGCTAAATTTTCAATTTTCCAATTTTTCGATTAATATATATTTTTTTTATTTTACCGTTTCTCGAATTCGCAGTTGCGACTTTTCAGTTCTTCAATTCTTCAGTTTTTCGTTTTTTAAACTTTAGATTTTTCAGTTTTCGACTGTTTCATATATATTTCGATTTGTGAATTTTTCAAGTTTTCAATTTTTTGACAACTCGATTTATCGAGATTCGGATGTTTCGATGTTTTGATTGTTCCAGTTTTTTAATTTTTCGATGTTTCGATTTTTCGATTTATCGGTTTTTCGTTTTTTTACTTTCCGGCTTTTCGATTTTTGAATTTTCCGATTTTTCAATTTTCCAATTTTTAAAATTTTCAAGTTTTGACGTTTCTGAATTTTTAGTTTTGCAATTTCTCAATTAATCTATTTTTTGGTTTTCCCATTTTCGATTTGCGAAGGTTTCGATTTTTCAGTTTTTCAGTTCCTCAATTTTTCGATTTTTCAGTCTCCAGATTTTTCAATTTTTCAATTTTTTAATTTCCCAATTTTTGGATATTTCGTTCAATTTTGTGAGTTTTCTCAGTTTTTTGATTCTTCAATTTTTCAATTTTTAGTATTTCGACTTTCGGATTTTTCACGTTCTGGATTTTTCGATTCCTCGACTTTTTACTTTTTGGATTTTCAATTTTTCGTTTTTTGAACTTTTGGTTTTCACAATCTTTCAACTTTTCGATATTTTAAGTTTTCAATTTTAAAAATTTTAAGTTTTTCGATTTCTCGAGTTTTCAGTTCTATATTTGAATTTTTTAATTTTCGAAATTTAAAGTTACTTATAAGTTACTTTTTTAAAAGACACATTACAAGAACACGCACAAAAACAGAGTAAGATACAGTACTAATAAAAATACAGGGTGTGAGTGAGAATTTAAAAATTTGGCGATTGAAATTCCATTTATCATGGGATTGTTTTTGTCTCAAATTTACGTCTCATTATCTTTCCACACAATTATCCATTTGTTATGATGATTCACTAGATGGGACACGAAAACTCAAAAAAAAAAGGTTGCATTTGTGATTTACGGGGAATTTCGGATGCAGCATGCACAACACTCCACCCTCTTCCAATGGTCCAGACCAGTTTTCATTAAAACGTCGCTACGGAACAACGGTAGCAATAGCAGGAAGATATTTGAAAAGTGACTAGAGAACACTAGAGAGTGTTTGGACTACGTGAAGAGTTATTTATGCTCAACTGTTGTGTGACAATTCTGAGTGATACCACCTTAACAACGTAAACTGTTTCGTTTCTTTTATTGTTTTTCGTTTATCGCAATTTTCCACAAAATCAGTCTTTTTTAAGGCTATTTTTTATCTGAGAGTGAGTCAAAGCTATCCAGTTGTGCTTTGACAAAGAAGCGGAAGTTTCATCTCGAGAAAACTGTTCTCCGAGAATCATAAGAAATTCATGGTATGCTATTTCTAGAAGACGACTATTTGGGCCTATTTTCTTCGATGAGTCAGTTACAGCTGAACATGCTGCAGGATTTTATTGACCAACGTGATCCTGAAGAATTGTAGAATGGATATTTTCAGCATGACAGGGCAACTGCCCCTAGACCCACCTCGATCATCTGATTTGACACCTCTATATTGTTTCTTGTTCCCGATTTTGAAAAACGTTATTTGTAAACAATCAGTAGATACAATTGAAGGTTTAAAAGTGAAAATCATACAACAGTGTAAAGTTCTTCAATTAAATATGTTACTTATCATAAATAAATAATTTTAAATCCGAGGAGGGTTTAATTCTTGTTGAGCCATTAAAATTTTATAAGTTTTTAAAATTAAAAACCGGATCAAGTGACGACTTAAATTTTTTTGGGTAACTAGATCACAAATCAAGAAAATCACCCGATATATTGTGTTATGGTGACTTTGACGAACCTCTAATTTCATTTTTTATATTTTTCGGAAATTTGGATAAACACTATGTGGCAGCAAACCCGATATTACTTATAGCTGATTAATCTTTAAAAATAAACTTAAGACAAATACGTGACTTAAAAAATATTAGTATAAAACGAAACAATTTCAGATATGATTTCAAATTATAGTAAAATACAAGGTGCTACATTTGAAGAAAATGAGTAAAATTAAAATCTTCACTTTTTAATAAAATCTAAGTACTTATTTTAAAAAACCTTATTCAGAAACCAATAGAAATAATATCCGTTTAGAAATATAGTGTAAATGGTAATAGGATTTATATTTTTTAGGTAAAAGTCGATTGTGTTCAATTAATTAATTCGTCCTTTCCTTTGTAAAATTTTCTATTAACTTTGTTGCATGGTTGAAAATTATTGTTTGTATGTGAAAATAAATTAATTACTTAAATGTTTTGTGCTCGTTTCATGACCCTTATTTATTTCATAATTAATCTCCAAAACTACCAGACCGATTGTTGTCAAATTTTAAGTGTACGTCAGGAATATCGCGTAGACGGTACAACGCTAAGTAAAATTTTTAAATTTTAAAGTTCTTGTAAAACTGCGGTAAAATCTGTGCATTAAGAGTTTGCAGAAGCGTAATTTTCAAAATAAATAAAGTATGAAAATGGATGAACGATTATTAAAGGATGTGGTTATTTTAGAATGCAGCTGAAGGCTAAAAGTATATCTCTCAGTGTGCTGCTGCGGATGTGGAATTGTATTTGCGGTAGTCTTTTAAGAGCGGTGACCACAAACCCAAGTCAGTGGTAAATTTTATACGATAAACTAGTTTCTTAAAAAATTCACAAGTTAATGGTAAAGATTACTTATTACTATTAATATAACAGAATTTCTCTGAACAGTCTCAGAATTTAAATTTTTAATGAGAAAAAATGCATCCTTTTTTCAGTCTTGGTTCATGAATTCACTCCGCAATCTCCTTCCCTCTTCTGGAGATAAGGGAGCCTCTCCCAGTGAGCTTCAAACCATGCTGCCATCTTCCGTCAAGGTCCACAGACTGAGTAACGCCACCAAGCCTCCAGAGGATAACGGGGGCATCTGCTTAATGACCGAGAGTCCTTTCAGGATACTACGGGTGAGCGAACTTCCAAATTAATATTACTTTGCAGCATTTCGCCAATAATAGAGAAGTTTAATTTTTTGACTTCCTTGTCGCTATTTAAAAATTACGCTATTCTAAAATATAATAGTCCATATAAAAGCTATAAACGATCATATATGTATATTTCTAATGGCTCATTAAATCGTTACGGAAACAACATTCATTGTCAGGGCATTACAATAGTCGTTTAATACATTGTCATTGTTGTTTGCAAAAACTATAAACTGGTTTTCTAGTGTTATCGATCGCCAAACAACATCGATAGTAACTGAATCTGACATTTTAATTGCTTAGGAAAACTGATACCAGTGGCAGCGTAATGAAATTTTAACTATGCCGACATTCGCGGTCGATGATTATACGACAATCGTTCTTAAATTAAAGGACTACGTTTAGTGGAGTAATAGGTCTTGGGGAAATATTACAGAGTATTAAATTTAATGGTTTTGGACAGATTAATTGGGGCTGGGATTTTAATTAATGAGAAGTGCAAACATTCATTAGGGTTTTTTTTTATTCATCTCATTTTTACGTAGGCAGCCCACATAAAAGTCAACTATCTAAATTAAATAAGAAGTAAAATGTTGGTCTATGCTTTCAATAAAACGATAATATCCATTAACAATAAAAAGAAGATAAAACTAAAAAATTGTCTTGCTTCATTAACCAGAATATCTATATGTGATAAAAATTTTAGTAGTGTACATAAAATTAATCTGAAACAAATCTAACTGATCAACAACAATGCGCTTTAATTAGCTTAAAGCCCATGAAAAATATCACTGTTATACGGAAGTAGGACAGTAAACACTGAAACGACCAGTCCGAACATTTAGATAAAATTTTAGGTTATAGTCATAAAACGTTAACTAAAATTCATTTTTTCGTGTTCGACGACAACAAAATTGCATCTTGAATGAAATGACGAGCTGTTGATAGTACTATACTTCGTTTACCGAACAGATGGAGCTGTAAAAGTGGTGATGTTTACGTGATTTTTAAAATTCTAATATAATTGGTAGCGGAATGTAAGTACTTAATTTAGGCACGATCTTGACATTAAGCTAGTTGTTGTTTTACATAGTGAGATTTTTACCCTTATTTCGAAATTTCTTGTGCATGCTCACTCCTTCTGAGAAACATTTTTGATCATACTATATACAGATAACGTGATCAAATTTTGTTGGATAAAGTGTTAAGGTGAAGTTAACAGTTTTTGAAAGATTCTTTTTTTAATTTTGTAGTTTCTGATTCGATCAATAAAATTAATTTTTTTGGGTCAAGTTTTATTTGACAAGATTTTGAGATGACGTCATCAGTTTTTAAGGGGGTTCTAAATGGATACATTTTGATTAACAATTTACCGTGTTCCCAATAGCTTTAAAAATTTGCAAGGTTCCAGACTATTCAGTTTGGCGATTTCAAAGTTAAATTGTATACAGTAAACTGGATACCTATGGTAAAAACTAAAAAAATCATATAAAATTTACTCTTAGTTATGTTTTAAGTTTCTTGTTGTCGAAATAAGTCTACACATATTACGAAAAAAAAATAGCAAAATGTAGCCCCGCCCACCCACCCCATCTCAATTGTAATGATTTTTTTATTCGTCGTGAGTTAAGTGGGCGGAGCTTAGCCGCAAAATCCTTATTTCTCTACGAGAAATTAAAAACATGTTTTTGAGTGTCGTGTTGTTCAAAGAATGCTATGTAAGTATATTAAGAAAAAAATAAAGCCAAAGATTAAGCCCCACCCATACCCGTCCCGAATTTTCAATTGTGATGAATTTTTCATTTTGTCAGATCGAGGGGCGGGGCTTAATTGCAAGATCCATATTTGTGTACAAGAATTTACCACTTTAGACATGTTTTAAGTTTCTTGTCGTAAAAAGATGACTACATATTAAGACAAAAGGCAAATTATTAGCCCCGCCCACCCACCCTATTCCAATTGTGATGATTTTTTTTTATCGTCTCTAGAAGACATTACCATGTTTTTGGGTATCGTGTTACTCAAACAATACTATATACAGCGTGTTATTGAAAGGAACGTACAAAATAAAATCCGCAATTGGTCTCGAAGTATGGGTGCTAAATTTTAAAAAGAGTTCAGATAAAAGTGTTCTCATTTTAGAGATAAAAATTATCAAGATTTATGTCCAAATTCGTTGTACGCCTCTGATAAAAAGATCATCTCTCGTTTCTATAGCACCATTCAGTCCTGACAAAAGTTTTATTGTTACAGTTGCTAGGATTTACTAAAATAAATTATTTTACCTATTTATCTTTTAGTAGCGTCTAAAAAGGTTGGATAAGGGTTAATTTTCCCCTTATAATTTTGACAACACAAAATAAGTTTTTCAGACTTCTTAGACTTCGCGAAGAACTGTCAATTTTGTTGTACGAACTTTTCAATAACACCCTGTATATTAAGAAAAAATTAAAGCCAAAGATTAAGGGGCGGAACCTAATTCCAAAATCCATATTTCCTTATAAAACTTTACCATTTTAAACGTGTTTTAAGTTTCTAAGAATGCCAAAAATCATTACAATGGAGATGGGGTGGGTAGGCGAGCTTTATATTTTCCCTTTTTTTCTTAATATACATAGTATTGATGATATAACATGATACTCAAAGCATGTTTTTAATTTCTTGTAAAGTAATAAGTATTTTGCAGTTAAAAAATCAGCACAATTGAGACAGGGCGGGTGGGCGGGCTTACATTTTTCCGTTTTATAATAATATGTGTAGACTTCTTTTCACAACGAGAAACTTCAAACATGTCTAAAATGGAAAATTTGTATAGGGAAATTTCCATTTTGCAATTGGGGTCTGCCCCATAATTGCCAAAATCCATATTTCCTTGCAAAAATGTACCATTTTAACCATGTTTTAAGTTTCTTGTTGTGAAAAGATGGCAATGTGTATTAAGAAAAAAAGGCAAAAATATAAGCCCCGCGCACCCGCCTTATCTCAATTGTGATGATTTTTTTTATTCGTCTTGAGTCAAGGGGGCGGAGTTTAATTGCAAAATCCTTATTTCTCTACGGGAAATTATAAACACGTTTTTGAGTATCGTGTTGGGCGGAGCCTAATGGCAAAATCCATATTTCCTTGCAAAAATTTACCATTTTAAACGTTTTAAGTTTGTAAGAATTAAAAAGAACATCACAATTGAAATAGGGTGGGTGGGCGGGGTTTATATTCGGAACTTTTTTCCTTATATACTTTATATTATATTATCCTTTGGATCACATGATACTTAAAAACATGTTTTTAATTTTTCGCAAAGAAATAAGTACTTATTTTCACAACATGCTCACTTTGTAAGCATATCAAGTGCACGTGGTCATTCCATCTGTTGGGTAAACGTAATATAGAAGAAATTTCTTATGATGTGGAGCTGCGGTTAATAAAGACAAAAATTTCTAAATAATGGTTATGATTTGGCACTATGCTTATGTATTAATATAGTTATATACAGGGTGAGTCACTAAGCAGGCGATCCTCGATATATTTATAATATTAATCATATTAGAGATAGAAAAAAGTCGAAGATTAAAGTTATACGGTTTTTGTTGTAGCACACAACATATATTTTTCAAAATAGAATACCCCATATTGCGACGTTGTCACGCTATTCTAGTTTGCTTAAATTTTTTTAGTAATCCAAGGGAGTATAAAAAAATCGTAATAATATTACTTTTAAGATCTGCGTTGCAATATTTTATGGACCAATAAACAGAAGTACGCATTTTGTTGTGATATCAATTAAATCAAATTTTAATATACATAGTGTTTATAAAAAAATCTAAAACGTGATAATTTTCAAATATTAGCATTTCAGGACTCGCTTTACAGAAGCTCAATTTCTTTCAATATGTCGGTGTATCCCTTAAGTAGGTAAGTAAAAAATCTCAACTTTAAGTATAGAAAATACTCAACAAAAACAGAAGAGAATAAAAACCAAAATAAGATGCAGCAATAAAATACAAGATATTCTATTTGACAATTGAGATATAGATATTTGAAAATTGTTTTAATTTTTTTAGAAACACCCTGTATATTAAGACCCAACTTTATTTATGCCACAACAACGCACGTATTGTTATTGATCTGTCCACAAACTATTGTATCACCATTGTTAAAACATTTGAAGAAAATTTGAATAATGTAGGAACGTCGCATCGGAGTTTCTAAAATTAACTGTTGTTATAAGGGTTTATATTTTTGAAAAAACTAGGTTCTACGTTAGATCTTAAAAACAGAACACTACGTATATATAGTGGAAAATAATTTTAGTGAATGGTCCTCAAAGAACCGTACAACTTTAGTCTTTGATGTTTTTTTATTTTCAATAATTAAAGAAATATCGAGTAATGCTGCCTTAGTTGCTCACCCTGTATATAAATAAGCTTTATTATAAAATACTGTTACTCATGCCCATGCGTCATTACGGTGTTTGTGTTTCATAATATTAAAATTAAAATGTTTATCCGTATGTAAAAACACTAAATACATTTTTAGTTGTCTGTAAATATATAACTTTAGATCAATCAAAATCAATAAAATTTATTTAAAAAATAGAGTTATATTACGAAATCAAAAGTAATATTGCTTCTTGAATAATCATTTATTTAATAATATATTTGAGATGGCGTCATAGACATAGAATTTTATTAAAGAGCACATCATGCTATAGAGGTCTCCAGTTAAAATTCCGCGGCCTTATGTCTTGAGAACGGATAGATTATGTAAACGCCATTGTTTTTAGCTCGAAGGATAAAGCTAATCGATATGTTCTTTTTTAAATTGGGATTACAATGATATATGTACAACATCTAGACGTTTATTTAATTTTCGATTTCAAGCTAATATCAATGGCATCTACAGAATTTCAGTATTTCTATCCGTTCTTAAGACTAAAAAATGGCGCACAAACTTAATGGCGCATTATTAAGTTCGCAAGTCGA